ACCATCAGCCACCATCTGACTGCAGCTGCATGATGGGATCCCAAGCAAGACCAGCAAAAAAAAAACCCTCCAGATGAACCCAAGGAAACTCACAAAATCATAAGAGATAATAAATTGGCTGTTGTTTCAAGCCATTATGTTCTGGGGTAGTTTGTTCTTTAGCAATAGATAACTGAAAACACAGCAAGAAAATTTACAGGATCCTAATTATGTAAGTCATTTACTTTTTCCATTCTCTACACAGCCAACGATATCTTTTCCCATCAGTCCTGAGCTAAGGAAGCCCAGCTCAGAACAACCTCTACAGAATGTGGTATTGCTAACCAAGTTTTCACCTTTCTGTAGAAATTCTTTAAATCAGATTGGAGTTGGAAACAAGTGCATACACGGAACAAAGGATCCTAATAGAAACGGATGTTTAAAAGAAGTAGGTATCAAATGTTTTACTATTGCTGCTGCTGTTACACTGACTTCTCCTGCTGGTGAACATATGCCAGCTGCTCTTCAGAGCTAACTTGCCAACAGAAGGTCAAAATGCCTTGCCTAAACACAAGAGGTACAAATTTGGGATCTTAAGTATGATGTCATGTCTTAAAATGATAAGCTGGCAAAGGAAATAAATGGCATTTTGTAAAGATGTGCACCGTATTCATGTTTATGCTACTTAAGATGAAGGTTCTAATAAGTCATCGGGTCTGTTCCTTTAAAGAGAAGTTTTATAACTGAGATGAATCACAACTGCAAAAGATCAAAGTTAAAAAACATCAATGATGCCATGGGGTACTTTTTAATCTTGTAATGAGTGATGATCATGTGCTCTTATGAAGTTAGTCCAACTGCCAACGCCAGATGTGTATATTAAGAAAAGAAGTTGTTTGTGATGTGACAGCATTGGTTCAGCTGCCAGAGACAGAAAACATAGAAGGATGAAACCTCTCGAATATCTGAGTGAAAAGCAAGTCCTGGCAGATGTGTTGATAAGCAGGGCCTCAGAGTGGGGTTCTAATGCCACAGGATTCCCTCTTGGACTTCTCTGACAACAAATTGTGTATATTATCAGTTCTCAACAGCTGTCCCTGGATAGCACAAATATCTACTCAAGGTATGACTGAAACACTGTTTAGTGTCATTTGCTAATGAGCAAAATTGGTAAAACAATCTTCAAAGGAAAAAAAAATAGTACACTAGTGGTATCCATTTCCTGGATGCATACTATAAGCAAAACTACACCGCAAACTTCTGACCCTGAAGAAAGTTGATGTAATAACAGCTAACACTTAATGAGCATTTACTACAGGCCAGTCACTGTGCAATCCACTAAATGTACATGATATCGTTTAACATCTTTGCAGCAACTGAGGGTGAAAATGCTATTCTTGTTCTTAATTTGCCAGAAGGTATGTTTGCTCACCAGAGACAGAATAGAGAGGGAGAGGGAAAGTGAAAAAGCACACTCCCCCCAGTGGGGAATGGTCACACAGCAATCTCTTCTCTTCCATTTCTCCTTCCAGAATTTTTGGCACACAAACACACACACACACAAACACACACACACACACACACACACACACCTGGAGTTTCTGGACCCACCAGGTCTGGGACTTAAACTGTGCAGGCAGCCATGTTCCAGCCACTTTAATCACCATGCCATTTGCTGGCCTAATACTATTATTATTATTCTCACTTTAAAATATTAGTAAATGGAGGCAAATAGAAGTAACTTGCCTGTCTCCATATAGAAGATAAATTGTGGAGTTGGGGAGGTCCAACTGACATAAATATCCAATCAGTTAACCCAGAAATTGTTCTAAGTTCCAAAGCTGCCTTGTCAATATACACTGAGATCTTTAGAGGAAGGAGTAAAAATGCCATTAACAGGAAATTATAGTACAAAATCTTCAACTCTTCTAACAACTACAGTGATAAAAAGAAGCATTTCTACGACAAACACTACTTAAGGAATTATAATTCAAGGGAAGAAGAGGCTAAAATAATCGCATTGGTCTTTTTTTCTTCCATCAGGAAAGCCTTTTTACAAAAACCTTTCTCTGTTAAAAGTCAGTGAAATAGGCCACTTTGAAATCTAGAACAAGGTCTGGAAAACTATCATTTGTAGACTAAATCAGGCCCACCATCTGTTTTTGTAAATAAAGTTTTATTGGAATGTATACATGACCATCCGTTTATGTACTGACTTAAATGGCTCTTGGGCCACAATGGCAGATTTGAATGTTTGTGACAGCACCATATGGTCCACAGAGCCGAAATTATTATCTGGAGCTTTTCTGAAAAGGTACATCAATCCATGTTCTAAAGGAGCCCCCATTTAGCATGATATACAACAAATAATCAAAATCCTATTATACTCACTGTTAAAGAAAACAGAATCATGTGCATTTTTCACACCTGGAAGTGTCAAAACTAAAAACCTATATTGTGAAGAGTGGGTCAATGGAAGAGTCATGACATATTTTTCTATGTTTATCTATGCAAAACTGCATCATGACTTTTCCGATGACCCAATACAAACACTCAATGCCCAGAATAGCCAAAAGCAGGGTCAAAAGAAATAATCCAGTACAGAGTCAGGTTATAGAATTAAGCTGTTACTGGGACCAGCAGTTAGCGTAATGGCTATGTTGCTGGACTCCCATGTAGTTGACCACAGCTCAAGTCCTGGACCCGATGGCTTAAACTCATGCTGGGTGAGTGTGCGTGCGTGCCCAAGATGTCGAGAGGAGAGCAGAGAAGAAGAGATTGCAGCGTGGTCATCTCCTCTGGGGGTAATTTCTTGCTTTCTGTCTCTCTGTTTCCCTCTGTTTTACTGGTGAGCGCATGTGTCCTATAGCAAAAACCTCTCCAGAAAAAATAATAATAATAATTAAGCTGTTACTGACATCAGAATCATCTGTATATCCAGACACTGATTTGGGCAAATCACCTCTTGACATCAGGGAAATGACATCGCATTTTCACAGACAGTTTTATTTGCGAGAAGCATTATTCAGGCTGATCTAGGGCAGTTGGTCTGCCACTCACCGACCTGTGTCTGCTTCTCACACCAACACTCAGCACCCTTAGCACCACCCAGTCTAGAGTCAGTTCATACATAAACCATCCAACTTCTCTCTTTTGACCCTCACTGCTTTCAGAGTACTTCTCTGCCTTTACGGGCAGTGAATCTATCAACCAAGTAATTCTGTCAAAAACCTCTTTGAGATGAGGTAATGCTCTCCACATTTGAAGCAGAAGTAACTTTCCCAAAGCCACCCTGCTTCCTAGTCTTCTATCCTATCTTTCAGAACAGGGCCACACCTACCTTTGCCTGCTCCCTCTCCCACTACCAACTTTTAAGCATCAAGTCTTGAGAGTATGCACACACACACACACACACACACACACACACACAATAACAGTTTTTCCAAGAACTAAAAAAAAGCACTGAGAAACATCTTTAAAAGATAAGGGGTGCTAAGTGTTAAAAGACTACTACCCTGCTCTGGGCCTTGCTATGATGGATATCCCTTCCTTTTCAGGAACTCAAGAGTTAGTTAGATTCAAGGTTAGAAGATACCCTCCATCCTAAGGCATCATCCTTGATTTTATGGCAGACAAAAAAAGGCAGGCAAAGTCCCTAAACAGGCAAGACAGCCCTGCTTTGTTCTATTCACCTGCACTATAGAACTACTGTCCCTTTGGACTGGAGATTTGGGGCTTACACACACGTGGACAATAACCACCTAACAGGACGTTCCCAAACTGAACAGACAGGGCCAGTACTGACCCAACGTTATGAACCTGGAAGAATGCCATACACATGAAAGGAGGAGCAAACAAAAACCTCAAAGACTTGCTTTTGAGACAGGAAACCTCCCTAATGCAGGCAAGCAGTTGGCCTTTGTGAAAAGAGACAGCAGCAAAAGGGATGGGAGCCACTTCAAGTTCCCGCTGCTAACAGATAGGCCACGCTAGCAGAGGCCAACCATTTCGGGCTCGTTTCTGTCATTTTAGGGAGAGAAAATATATGCCACTCTTCCAGGGTAGGTTGATCTACTGCCATAGGACAAAAACTTCTTCCAGCTATACCTCCACCACAAACCAAATTAAACTCCCTAAACTCAATGGTCAGGACCCCAAGGTATGCACACAACAAAGGGAGGGCTCTGTATGATATTTCTATTGGCACAGAACTTATTTCATGTATCAAATAATCTTTACTCTCAAATATACTTAAAAATTGTTATGCTGAATTTCTTCAAATCAGTTTTTTTTTGGGGGGGTGGGGTATAGAGAGGTGATAGTAGGCAAAAGCATACTTCTTTCAATTTAGATTTAGGAGGAAAATACATATTGGCCCAATCAGATTATGGACACTACCATAAACTGACTGCCAAGTAAACCCAGATGACCAGAAGGACAAAAAAACCCAAGTAGATTTAAACTTGGTTTGACTCTATCTGTTAAAAGAAACTATCTATAATAATTATTAGAGCATGACCAAACAACAGTGTTGTAACAATCAAGCAAGTTATCATTTGCAAATAAATTCTTAGTAATTAAGCTGTGTGCTCTTTATAAAGGGAATTGAGTGGGCGAGTTAAAAAGCTAAAATACATTCTTAGGCCATGGGAAACACACGCGAATGTTTTTTGACTAAGCTCAAGATTTTTTAAGTTTATTGTTTTCTTCCTCAGCTCTCATGGGTCTACTCTGCCCTACTGTGTAGAGTGAAGGAGCAGCATTTCTTAACAAATAGTTACAGTGACTGAATAATTATTCACACGTTTCCCGAAGTTACTTAGGTCTTAGCAATTGCGTGGCAAAGGTTAAAACTGTCGTTTTATTTTCTATTAGCTGTGAAGTTCTATTACTTTTCCCTTACTAAAAATACATGCAGATAGCAAACTATGCATGAAAGTAACACTAACTCATTTGGAATAAATTCCTCACAGGGCCTCCACAAATTCATTATCGTTTTCAACAGAAAGGAAGGTACTTACTTCTGGGTTCCCGGGGTCCATCCACTGTAACTTTAATAGCTCTGTGATAGGTGGCTACTTGGGGAGGATTTGTGAAGACAGTTATGGTCAAGGTGAAACTCTTGCCTGCAGGTGTAAAAGGGGAAAACATAGTGAACACGAAAAGATCATATTGATAATTATATAGCAGCACAGATGTCTGAATTGCATTTAAGCATGACTGAGGAGACCAGGGAACAAAGATAAGGCTCAGGACTCCTTATTCTAAATTGGAAACCCTCTGACGGCCACTGTAGGGCATTTCAAAACTCATTGAGTGTTCACATCAGCATCTTCATCGCAGTAGTACACAAGAAGGCTCCAAATTCCAAAAAAGCTCCTCAGTAGCCAACAGCTGTAATGAAAACAAAAACCCTGGTCCACTTGAGGAGGGTTCTCTTTCTTTCAGTTTTCTCCAACATCAGGAATACATCCAAGCACAGACAATTTTAGAAGTCTTTATTTAGGATTAGGTCACGACCTCATGAGAGAACAATAGTAAATCATTGTTGATTATGTTATTTACTTCACATGGCTTTAGCATTTCATTTGCTTAACTACACTACAATAAGAAGATGAAAGAGGAAGGTTCTTATGGGAATCATTTTAACAGGAGCCAGTGTCTCCTGGCCTGGCCTTAATGTGCCTGTGGTATGATGATTTCATCATTACTGGAACCGAGTTTTTCTCCTCCCTGCCCACCCCTCCCCTAACATACATCCCTGCTGTTAAATCTTGAAATAACTCTGACAGTGACTTATTTTTTTGCTAAATGAACATGACACCTCTCAATATAAACATAATTTTTACTTTTAGCAGAGGGTGTGCTTCATCGAAATATTACATCTGATGCCTCAAATTAATGAGCTAAATAAAAGTGATGAATAAGAGGGGGAGAAAGACAGAAAAAAGCTTGGTAGCAGATTTGGATGTCTGCTTTCTCCAGAAGATACCAGACTCTGTTACGCAGACTCACTGACAGTTGTAATCAGTTAGATTTGCAACGGTTAGTCATGTCAGATAGTCAAAACTGCAAACTGTTACAAGACAGGAAAAGGTGGGCGTGAAACAGTGACTCAATAAAACATTCAGCAATCTCGGGCCAGAATACTCATTTAGGCTGCTGCAGCAACAGACCTTTGAAAAGCTCATTCTGGTTTGCTTTGTTTTTCCGTCAGGGACTCCTTTTCCCTTTACTGAAAGTTGAGGGTATTAAATCAATACATGAACCTTAGACAATATGTAGCAATGCAAAGTTTAATGCAATCTTTTCAAAGCTTAATAGGGAACAGGTTATATACAAGGCTTAATATAGAACAGGTCTTTGGCTGTCAAGTCTAGTGAATGGGTTTTCTTTTCAACCCAGACCATGTAAGTTACTGAAATCTGTTTAAGACACACATCATTTGTTACTGAGTATGTATAGTTTTAAGTCTCCTTGACTATACCTTTCCATGGCCGAAGGGGGGTGGGGAAGGAAAGAAAAGACAGGAATGTAGGTGGTGTAGAAAAGGAAAAGATGAATACTGATTAGAAACTTACTACAGCCAGTCAGAGCCACTTCATACACATTTAATCCTCCCCAGTTAGGATTCATCATCTCAGATGAGGAAACTGGAGCCCCGAGAAGCTTAGTAACTTAACTCAAGTTCATACGACTAATAAGGGAGAAGAGTCAGGATCTGGATCCAGGCCTTTCAGACTTAAAATTAATGCACTTTTTTATTCTCTCACACTGACGGAGAACATTTTAGACAATCAATAGATAATTTATTTCTAGCTATGTCCCAGTCAGCTCTACGTGTCCATGAAACAGTAAATATATGTAATATTTTAGCCAGGATGATGAAAGCATCTATTTTTAAAGTGTTATTAATGGATCATATTTCATCTACCATAGATTGGATATTACATGGATTTAAGTAAATTAACTAGTTAGGGAATAGAAAATTTATTCTATGAATTTACAGTAACACTAACCAGAAGAATAAAACTGTCAGAAGTCTAAACTAGTTTCAGAAAATTGAAAGCCTACAGAAATGAAGATTAGGAATTTAAAAATAGGAAGCCACTGGGTCCAGATGAGGACCTCAAAATAATGGGAAGATTTGGAGGAGTAAAACAGTTCAATCTCTAGATTAAAAGGTATTTTACTTTAAAACATTAAAAGGAGCCAGCCCTGTAGTGCAGCAGTTAGGCACTGCACAGAATAAGCCTGGTCACACATGGCCAACTAGGGTTCTAGTCCAGCCCCAGCAGCTCAGAAACATGCTGGGCAGGTCCACATTCTCAGGACCCTGACGCGATAGAGAACTGGAGGGAAAAAGATTGCAGCATGACCAGGCCCAATTAAGTGGGTTCTGTCTCTCTTTCTTTCTCTCTCTCTCCCTCCCTCTCTCTCTCTCCCCGTCGCATGCATGTACCCTCTGCAATTTAAACAAAATAATTAAATCTCATTCCATGGACTCAGGATTGATTGATTATTTTTAATAAGAGAAAGAGACAAAGACAGAGACAGAGACAAAGTAAAATGCAGAAAACAGGCAGCCCCACCAGAATATCGCATTTCCAATAGTGGTGCCAATGGCTCTTTGGAGGGCAACTGCCATCTGTGGCACTAATCTTAATAAGTCAAGGATGTGTAAAGCTCATTTACCCTTACACCTCCAAATAATCTGCTGGGCATACTGCGTGTAATCTAGTTTTGTGAATATTTCCATTTTTAGATCTTTACAACTTACTTCAGATATTTAAAAGTCATATACTTCTCCCAAATTCAAAGAAACACACCTTAGGCAGGAACAAAAAACAAATATAAAATTCACCCTCCAATTAGGAAGCATCTAACTGTTCAGAGCAGAAACAGTTTTCATTAAAAAACTTCCTTTCTAAAGAGATCATTTGGGGAGAGGAAACAAGTAACTAAGTGTAACTATGGTTTTCCAAAGTCAAATCCTAAGGATGAAAACAAAAATTAAGCAGTTTCCTTCTACTTCTTACTGCCTCTTCAGAAGAAACATGTACGTTATGTTGAAAAACTTTCAGAAATTACCACCCAAATTGGTAACTGATTCTTTATCTTATAATGCTTTGTCTAAGTCACTCATTTACATTGGCCATTATGATTTCCTTAAAAACAAATCCCCAAATTTCATCTTTTTATCACTTACCACAAGTGATAAAAATGCAGGCTTTCACTTAGGAAGCTAGCACTCACTAGATAACTAATTGTACCATCCATGGTTTCATCTAGCAGCAAGTCCTGCAATGTGTCCTCGTGTCATACATTTTCTGAGATAAACACAGGGAATTGGCACTGACAAGTCCAACCTGGCAGAAGGGGCTGCCAACAATAGCCAGGAGAGGTAAGAATGTAAGCAGAATTGCATCCTAAATTGAGAACGTACCATGCTCTGTCCACTGTAGATGCTTAAAATGCTTGTAAACTGGGCCAGCAGGTGGCATGCCGGGTAAGGTGCTGGATCCCACAAAGCCTACTCTGCAGTTCAAGTCCTAGACCTGGAGACTTGAAAATCATATTGGGCATGTGTGAGGAGAGTGGAAGAGAAGGGATAGAGGGGCAGTCATCTCCCCTTGGTGAGGGGTGATTTCTCATTTCTCTCTCTCTCTCTCTCTCTCTCTCTGTCTTTGTCTCTCTCTGACAAGGTGCACATGCCTTATAGCAAAAACAAACAAACAAATTGCTTGTAAATTAAAAGGAGCATGTTTGAGGTCAAAAGAAGGGAAGCTCACCAAAAAAATATTTAAGGAATATAATCAATTTAAACATTTTTGTTTAAAATATAAAGGAGAAAAAAAGTAAAAGACAATTAAAAACCATAAGCCACTCCTAACTTAACACAAATCTCATTGAACTTCTACTTTAATTCCAAAGCATTTTCAAAAGTTGTGGTCAAAGATGATCTATAAAACCAAAGTAAGTAGCGATGTGACTTCTTTATAAATTCAAAACTATTTTTCAATTCTGAGTTTATGCCTCTACCAAAGAAAAGGAGGGAAAAGTGTAATATCTGAAAAATTTGGGAGCAATAGTTAGCGCAATGGCTATATCGCTGAACTCCCGTGTAGTCGACTGCAGTACAAGTCCCAGACCTGGTGGCTTAAATTCACGCAGGGCACGTGTGCGTGCGTGCCCAAGATCCCGAGGTGAGAATGGAGGAGAAGGGATTGCGGCATGGCCATCCACCCTGGGGGGTGATTTCTCACTTTCTGTCTCTCTGTCTCTCTCTGTCTTTCTGGTGAGCACACACGCCCTATAGCAAAAAACCTCTAAAAAAATAATAATTTAATAGTTGTGGTTTTTTTAAGTTTTTGTTTGTTTGGTTGTTTTTTTGGGTTTGTTTTTTTTTTTCTTTTTTTGCTTTAGAGTGTGTGCACTTGCAGGAGAGAGAGACAGAAACAGAAAGAGGGAAAGTTAGAAATCACCTTTGGAGGGATGGCCACACTACACCACCATTCTACTTTCAGGATTTTGGGCACACACGCACACATGCCCAGCATGATCTTCAAGTCACTGGGTCCGGGACTCAAACTACAGTCAGCCACGTGGGAGTCCAGCACCTTAACCACTATACTACCTGCTAGTTTCTGGTAGATTTTTGGTATTTTTGTTTTTTGGTTTTTGTGTGTGTGTTTTTAATAATTGTTTATTTAATTTTTATTTATTTATTAAAATATTTTTGCTATAGGGCATGTGTACTTGCTGGAGAGACAGAGACAGAGACAGAAAGTGAGAAATCATCCCTAAGTGGGAATGACCATGCTGCAGTCCTTTCTCCTCCATTCTCCTCTCAGGATTTTGGGCATGCATGCACAGGTGCCTGGTGTGAACTTCAAGCCACCAGGTCCAGGACTCAAACTGTGGTCAACCACGTGGAAGTCCAGCGCCTCAACCACAACACCACTTGCTGTCCTCCCCCATATTTTTTTTTTTCATTTTTAATGCTACTGAAAACAGAAAATGTTTAATGCCAGGACAAAACATACAATGGTAGCCGCATGCTGATCCCAACTTAACAGAGAAATGTAGACATGTGCAAATCAGAGAGGAAGCTGGAAAGAGTCTGTTATAAAGCAGGTCAGGTACAAAGGGTATAAAAGCAGGTTAAAATGTTTCCTGTCACTGAAAAACTGACCCATTTTTTTCAGAGTGCTCTCTCTTATCAGTGTTTTCTGTCCTTTTTCCCTCTTCATTTCAGTTTGATACTACTGTCTCCTTTGATACAATGTTAACATAGTGATATTAGAATCTATTATTAGTAATAAATCAATTTTTCTGTCTCTTCACCAGCTGCCCCCACCCCCCATCTAAGTCTTCAAGACAAGTCTGGACCAATTTCTCCATCCTGCCTCTGGCAGCAGACTGTTGCATTTCAGATCCTCCACCAAGTCCCGGCTGCTTCAAAGGAAAAATCCTACTTTCTTCAGTTAAGATCATAAGAAATATAGGGGGAGGGGGTCAGCTCTGTTTGGACATAATTACACTTCATCAAAAGAAGCTTTCTTCATCTTCCATGCGTGAAAAGTCTGCAAGCAGTTAAGTCTGTCTTTTTTTTTTTTTTTTAAATATAAAAATTGCTATTTGGGAAACCAGCCAAAACTCAGAAAGCCAATATAGTAAAACAGTGCACACCCTTTGTTTCTCTTTGAAGTTTCTTAAATAAATATGTTGAGGGTTTACAAAGTACACTATCACTTTGCCATAGTTTCTACTCAAACTGATCAGAAGGGGGAAAAAAAAAGGTTATGGACATCTACAGAACGTAAAAGCAAGATAAATGAAAACACTAGCTTGCATCCGTAAAGTAAAATTAATTATAGCAGCCAATCATTTAAATGCTAAAATTCATTATTCTAATTAAAAAGTAATATTACATGAAAAGAAACATGCAATTCAGAGCATATAGGTAAATCATCATGTTCACATTTTTCACGGTCTATACTAGAGAAAAAAATAAAAGAGAAACTAATTATACTGTGGACCTGCATCAGTGAGGAAAAAAAAGAATGAATACGCATACTATAAACCCAACCAGTCAACAGTGGTATAGGATGTGTCTTTTTTGTTCTTTTAATGAAAGTAAACTAAACCTGATGCAGAGATAACCCCTTCAGTTTTGATTCTACCAGAGGCTCTGAGCTTCATTTTATTTCAAACAACCTTTCAATGACAGTATCTCATTAGCATGCATTTTTTTTTTAAGTTAAAAAGTACAACCTCTTGGCCCTGTTCCTAGAAAGTAAACTAAAACTACTCATCGGAAACTGCCTTGCTTGAATTTCCCTTATCAAGTTTTTACAATGGTAATAATTTGACATCTGATCCAAACTAAAGAGCAATTATTAGACCTGGTTTAAAAACTGGTGCTTCTCATTTCCTACTTCAAACCTGAATTGTCGTGATTCCACAGGGCTTTATAATTTTATTTCACTCCTGAAGTGGTCTATTTTCACTCTTCTTACCAAAATACTTAAAATGGAAATATTAGATTTATTAAATAAATAAACATAATTCTACTAATAGGTGAATGAATAGCGAAAGTCTCTTTAGAGTAAGTAAATAAAATCCAAAATACTGGTCTCCTTAGAAACTTTTTTTTAAACATTAACTCCATTTATGAACAGCTATGAAAACCCTAGAAGAGATTTCCTGCTTTATGATCCTCTTAAAGATTCCTAATATTTGAGTATGGATTCAGATGTTAGAAATATGTATAAATAGTGTATAATTACTAAAGTCCTGATCATTTCTCTGTCTAGGCAACTTTACATAGTCACCCTAAGACAAATAATGTATTATTCACTTATCCAAATGAAAAGTCTTCTGAAAAAAAATGTGGTTTTTAATAGACTGTTATTATGAGAATTTATTAAACATACAGAGGTAATATATGTGATAAGTGAAGAGTAATATGCTGGCTGTCCTTGCAAAAACATGCAGCAAAATTGAAATTACCAGGAAATTGATACAATGCATTCATTTTTCTTTCCCCTTTGCCATCAATTTACTCAGTTAGTTGATGCCTCATAATTCAAAATTGATCTTCCAAGTGTTCTTTTCTCTACCTTCTATTCTCACATCCAGTGAAATTAGTTGCTAGTTCTGAAAACACTGCTTGAATTTTCAGTACCAAACAATACATGAGAAAGGTCTGAATATTGAGAAAAGCATTCAACTTCATATGGATATATTTAAATAAAATCTTAAGCAATTCTATTCAGTAAAAGAAGGTACTGATTTATATATAGACCAGTCGACATTTCATCGGAGGATCCTAATGTGTTTATTCCACTGTCAGTATTAAAAATCAGAGACCTACCTCGTCCACTCCGGCCCACAAATCTCAGATCGTTGAACCTTGCAACTTGGTTTTTCATAACAGCAGAGGCATTTCGAAGCTCAGCAGAGTAATTTTCATCGTTACCCGCCATGACAGTAACCACAGTCCCATCTGGTACCTCTCCGAGGGCTACCACCTACGTAAAACAGGAAACACAGCAGCAATAATGGCACATCAGAAGAGCTTTAAGACTGAGAATATATTCTCACTGTAAATCATGTATCTTATCAGGATTTAGTGCTCTAGTACAGTAATGGCAGGCAGGAAAGCAGCATCTGTGTACGGGTTATGATGCCACTTCAAACAGACCAATGTTTCAGGGTCCACCCATTTCAAAGACAGGCAAAAATGTCCTACATTTGTTGTTGGATTCTTCACAGAATATATGTACATTTTTATTAAATCCCCATGTTAGGCTGTCTATAGGAATTATGCCATAGAAGAAAGGCTGATGCCCCATCTGCAGATTGCATTATACATGTTAAGGCATCGCCTGTCTGCAGCCTTCCTCTCAAGGAAACCCGTAAGGTGAGGTCTCATCTGGATCACAGGCGAAAAACTACAAAGTCTGGTCAGCTCCATGAGAGAAGAAGTTTAGGTGAAACCCTGGATCTCCTGATTATATCCTAGATATGAAGTGGTCTACATTTACCGTCTTACTTTGAGCTAAATATTCAGTTGTTCAAGCTACTACAAATAGTTACAGAATGCCCACTCTGCAGTGAAACCCAACGGGAGAGGCAAAGCTGTCTGGAAGCTTAAAGCCTACAGCAAAATAAAGATGAACACAATCAATGACAAACGAGCAGCAAAGACCAAAAAATATACCCCTTAGCTACACTCGTAGTCCTGTTCCGCCTGCCATCTTGGAATGACACATTTGAATCCTCATCTTCAACAGTTCATCTCAACCAGAATAACTCAGTCAGGTAAGGACCTAGAATAACCAGTCTTTGAGGTTTTCTCTGCTCCAAGGCTAAGGTTCATACTTGAACCTTGGTCAGCTATCTTGCAAATGTATACCTCTGGTTAACACAAAGCCTGGAAGGGAGTGTTGGTACAGATCCTTCACTGGCATATATAAAACATACTATTCTTTTTGTTTATTTGTTTTTTGTATGGGTGCATGCACTCGCTGGAGAAAGGCAGAGAGAGGGAAAGTAAGAAATCATCCCCTCACCCAGGGGAGTTGGCTATATGGGAATCCCTTCTCCTTTCAAGATTTTGGGCACTCTCGCACATAGGTCTGGCATGACTTTGAAGCTGCCAGGTCTGAGACTCAAACCACAGTCTGTCCTGTGGGAATTCAGGGCCTTGTCCTGCACACCACCTTCAGTCCCCAATAATATACTTATACTATTCTTAATCTACTGCCAAAATCCTGCCCCTTGATGACATTCCTCTCTCGACTAACTTCCAGCACCCTATATTTAGATTATTTTCATCTCTTCTTCATTTACCTTCCAAGTGGTACTAATGTAACCATGGCTCTAGCTAATGTAGCCTACCCCCTGACAGTAACACCCCTGTGTGTTTACTTGCCTGGAAAACAATCCACTTATCTTTTTCTACTTCTAGTACAACTCTCTTCATAAAACAAACCTATGTGTTTAATTCCATGCTCCCAGTATGCTTGGTACATTCTCTCACTAAAGCAGATTTCTTACATTATGATAAAAGTCATTAAACCTATATTTTAAGACTGAATTTCTTCCATCCATGAACCCTATTCCAACATCCCTCCACTGAATTGTCTCCTCAAGCCAGGAAAACAACTGAACCACACAAAAACCTTGTCACTATTTTTGACGTCTTAGTTTTCACTTAGGCTTTGTCTCGGCTCCATTCCTTACATTTAGCACAGTTATTTAATTCAAAGCTGTAAAACTTTTCTTAAATTGCAGAACCAAACATCCGACCAGCATCTTACCATACTCAAGTGATCACCATTTCTTTTAAGGTTTTTGTCATAGGGGGTGTGCACTAACCAGAGAGAGACAGAGAGAAGGAAAGTAAAACATCATCCCCTGAGAAGATGGCCACACTGCAATCCCTTCTCCATTCTCCTTTCAGGATTTCGGGCATGCAGACACACATTCCCAGCATGAATTTCAAGTCTCTGAGATCAGCACTTAAACTGTGGTCGACCACAACCACGCAGGAGTCCTTAACCACAGCGCCACCTGCTGGTCCCTCATTTTAATGTATTTATATTAATGATCTACCTATTTCCATTGATATTCTAGCCCAAAGCTGAGGGACTCACTTCTAAGAGTCCAGATTGCATTCGTTTGGAAAGTGCATGAGGGAATGGCCTTCATATTATCTATCTTCTTTACCACTATACGCCCAGTTCCTAAAACAGTGCCTGGCACATGGTAAATGTTTGATATTTTCTAAATAAATAAATAAATGAAAGAGCTTCATAAAGAGCATCACTTCCCAGAGTCAGAAGCCTGTGGGACTACCAGCTGAACTCTTAAGAATCAGTTAGAGTGAGCAGCATCCTTGCTAATAAGGAAGAAGCCTCACTCCAAACTCCTCTCCTGACAACTTTTCCATCTCAAAGGAGAGAGAATCATGCTGACTGCCCTTTAACTGGAGCATAGTTATTCTTAATCTGGGAGTTCTTCCAGGTCAAAAGTAAATTCTTTGAGAGGGAGACTTCCTGCCTGCATAGTAACTTCAGTGGCTACTGAATACAGGTAACGCTGTACTCCCGACGGAGGTCATGTACTTTTCAATTTTTCAAATTCTTAGTGCTAAAAAATGTGAACATTTGAAAATAATGAAATAATTGACTACATTTGCCAGTATTCATCTGGATGTTTGACATTCTGTACATTCAGCATATTGTATTTTAACACCTGCTGTGTGGTTTTCTATGTCAAAGTAAATATGGGACCCGTAAGTATATTAATGAAGTCAGAAGAAAAGTTGTACTGTTAAGAAGAGAATAAATGCACTCAAAGTCAAGAGACTCCACTCCACTTTTTGCCCACTTGTGCTATATATCTGCTATGACCTCACACAAGTAACTTCATCTCCAGGAATCAGTTTTCCAGTTTGGAAATCATTTTTTTAAGTCTGCAAAATGTAAAGAACATGATACAAGTATAGAGTGTAATTAGAATGATTTGAGCTTTTATAAAATGAGGGTAACAGTGTTCTGTTCCAAATCTGCTGTCTGCTAAACATAGGCTTTTACTCGTAAGCATCATGAAGAGCTCAACTTGAATATATAATTCTTCACTTCATGTCCTGAGAAGTTCTTCGGTAGTACTGAGAGATATAGGATGAGTGTTAATAAGTTTCACTCTAGACAGGCTAAAGTTCAGAAACAAATAATGAAATCTGCCCAGTGTAAAGGTTTTCAAGAGCTCTGGGACATTATTATTTTACTGCATATTTTTAACATAATAGATTTTTTTTTTTAGTTAGAAGAAAAGGAAAATTGATTCAATATGGGAAAATAGGAAAGAAAAAATTCCTAAGAGTTAAATATATAAATCCATTTTACCTTTCTTAAGCAGAATGATGACCACATTAAATATTGGTATGTTGTATGCATCACATTTAACAAAACAAATAGATAATCACGAATTGTGTAAGTCTTCTATGAGGCTTAGAATTTGCCCTGGAAAAAATGCTAACACTATGTAGAGACAATCTTTCCTGTTACGGCTGAACTCTACTTTAATGGCTAAATATTTTTTTTTCTGCTATTCATTCTACAAAATCAGATTGCCCAATGTTTTTCTGAGGGGAAAAGAAGTGTGTGTGTTGTGGGTGGGAAGGAATACTATACTTGACTTTATATCAATCAGAAGTATAATTATATGTTTGAGAGGTTTTTAGAAAGTAGATCTCTGAAGCTATAAAGGTTCCCTTGGAGATTCTCAACTGTGTTTATCTAAAAAAAAAAGGAAAAAAAAAAAAAAAAAAAAAGATGTACACATATCATCTGTACCAAACCCAAGCAATGGAAAAACATTCTAAGGGGTAAAGAGCAGTAAAAAATAAATAAATAAATAAATAAAAATAGAAAAAAAATCACTTTTTCAACTAGTTAGGAATAAATACAAATTAAAATTTGTTTCCATACTACCCAGTACAAAGTACTGTTTTGCAAAGAAGGATTTATGATGAAACTCTAACAATTACATTTCTAGGTGTTTTTAAAATATAAAATCTACAAATTCAAAAAATTCATGAGAAAGGGAGAAGTAATTTTCCATTCGACATTTCAGAATAGAGAAAGAAGTTCCTTTATTTTGTGCACCTCAGTAAAAGTAGCATTTAAATCACATATGTGGTTTGTACAAAATGAGTGAAAGAATATTTAGCGATACTTCTGAAATGTTGTATGAGATTCTTCAGGACTAAAACTGTGAATCACTCTGACAGAGAAGCAATGAAGAATTAATTCAGGCCCTTAAAATTGTTTCTGTGGTCTTATTATAAGGAAATTAAAATTGCCCATGACATTTCCACGAACAGAAGTCTAGTCTTAGCTAATCTAGTACTCTTACAGGCCAACATCATTTGGCATGTGATATTTGCAGTAAAATTGAAATACAATTATTTTTCAAGGTAGAATTTGATAAAATCTTTCTCTAATAAAAACTGGTAAGACAATAATTGCAAAAAGCAACTTTCATTCCTATGGTAATTACTCAAAGGTAACTTTAAATAATCTATCACCAACTTCAACAAAAACTACAGTTTTTGTTTTTAATTCTTAAAATTTAACCCAAGATTTAAGAAAAATAGAATAAATTTTAGAGAAAATATAAATACAATATATCATTTCATAATTTTAAAATATATGTCAAAGAAAGATTTTGATGAAAATTATTTTTACGTGCCATATAGCGAGATGGTTTAAATCATCTAACAATGAATATTCTGGAATTCTGAAAGGATACAAAGGGAAAAAAATAACAAAAGATATATACTATACTTTTTCTCAAATATTGCTAAAATATTTTAAATATTCATTTATCTAAAATTACTTGTTCTATATTACCAATTAGTTTTATACAGTCAATCCTAAAGTATTTAAATAAGTTTGACCATATTTAAAAGCATAACATAAAAATGGATGTGTTCACATACTTGAAATCTATTGTGATTTACATAATTTTGCATAATAACTTGGAAAGTTAATAAGGATTTAACACATTCAATAACCTACTCTCTCCTGTTTAGGTATAACCAGATTCAAAAAGATACAAACACAAAATCTGATCATGAAATACAACTCACTAGTGTCAAGTATTTATTAGCTATATTCTTTTTGAGGAGAGGAAAATGGCCAATGATGTCAAAACATTATTGTCAAACAGAAATCATTGTCATTTTGAAATTCTCCTTTTGACAAATACTAAAAGGTATTATTAAAGATACCAAATTAGCTACAAGTACCAGATCATATATCTGAAAATGTGTTTTCTTTCTTTAACATTGCCAGAAAAGCATATGATACTGGTAAATATGCCTACTACAGTGTTCTCTAACTCAAAACAGCGCAAAGGCTTGCACTACTTTTAGTTCAAAATATACATCTGGACTTAAAATTTCTGCATAGTGTTTCAGCTTGAAGCTATTTAGAGCAACTTAGTTATGAACCCTGAACATCAGGCTTCACAGTGGAAATGCTGACAGACCCCTAACTAAAAGGGCGCTACTGAATGCAAGGTTGACATGTTCTCTTCTCTATTTCTACCTGACCATCAACTAATGAGCTAAATTTGCAAAGTGCTTCGTTGTCACTAGAATTATCTGGGACAGAAAGGGCCTGGGACCCTCTAATAATAAGCCTTAACTATTTTAAGCTTTCAGTGAGATACACCTGAAGGAAATGTTAAAAATATATATTTCCATTTCCTTGACACCTGGGGAGACTGAACATTTCAAACTGTAAAACTCTGTTAAAAATACAATGCCAACAAACAACTTTATGTATGAAGTTGGCTTTTCATTTTTACATGTCAAGTATAAATTAATTATTCCTATATAATCCCAAATGAACAACACTAATACATTACTTATTCTTAACGCAATACATTGCCAAAATCATGTTGAAGCACTATTTTAAATTAACATATCAAAACACAATCTATTAAATTTAATTCCTGATTTTCTGCAGTGAGGAGCTCAGTGTGGCAGACATAAAATATGGCCTTAATAAATATTGTATTGATTCGAATAACAGACTTTTCAACAATTAAGTCCTGTTGTGTGCATGCATGTATGTGTTTTAATGCATTTACCTATCTGATTATCTACACAAACACTATCACTTATTTTGTACACAACTCTAAAATATGATAGCCAAACTGCTGTCGCCACGTTTAAAACAGAGACATCTGATTATTTTGCAAGAGTGTAGAAAGCCTACCGTTCTCAGGATTTTATTTCAAAGGTAAGAGGTTGTTTTTACATCATTCATATGAGAATGTTAAAAAAAAAGTTGTCAAAATCTGAATGTTAGAAAGAACTCTGTGCTTCCTTCAGCAGAGAAAGAAAACTTCTGTATTAAATGGATCTGAGCTATCACCCACTTTCTGAACTCCAGTTAAACACATGTATGGAGGTGAGAAAACATTGAGAGTCAAGTTCTAGGTTAGCTCAATTCATTATTCAATTAATACGAATTAAAATATTCCATTTTAAGTGGCTTTGTGTTATCTATAGCCTGTTTACTTGTTAAAACAACAAAAATGTACTCTGTGTAATAAACAAGAATAGTTAATAGCAAAGAAAAAAATATTTTTGAAATAATTTTACAAGGATAATAGTCAGAAAACTTAAACAACTAAAATGTCTTTGAATAGCTCAAACTAAACTGTATTTTATCTTTACACCAAAAACATCATTTCCATCCAAAAATATGCATACTAAAAATGCATTTCACCATCAAGAGAATAGTTCAAGACAGTTATACCTGAAATTTATTTAGAACAGTATATAGAAGACCAAACTTCTAAGCGGTATTTTTAAAACATGAGCATCTATTTTTAGGTTTTCACAATTCTGATTTTTGGCATTCTATAGAAAAAAAATAGCCACTTATTTGTACTTTTTGCTATTTTTATCCTTTTTTTGCTATTTTCGGTTTGAGGTATTTTTGGGGGGTGGTGGGGGTGGAAATCACATTAAGGCTAATTGAAAATTCTGGGCCCTTGAACAACCAATATCTCTGTATGGAACATTTTAATTTCTATAATTCACATATATCCTGAGCTTTTCCTATTTCAAGGAAGAAAAACGCTGACCTACAAAAATAGGTGGTTTATAAAAAGAGAAATGGGACAGTCAAAGAATTCTTTGGCCAACTGCAAAATGAAACTTGCCCCAAAGTGCACTATCCCTTTCCATAACAACCCTCTGATTTCTGTTCTGATAGACGCCCTAGAGATAACTAGTTCTAATTGACCTGTGCTCCTCTTTCTTTCCACCCACCCACGCACGGAATCCGAACTGGTGCGTGGGGTGGTGGAGGATCAACAACTCGGTACTGCCAGGGGCCTGTGGGAGTTTGGCCCCAGGGTCCACTAAGAGAAACTGGCACCATTCCTTCCCCGGTTTTTCCTTTCCCAAGGCCTGGCTTAACCCTGCTCTCCACAGTTCCCAGAACCCAGGGACCCCAGGCCCAGCTACTCGTGTTCGTAAGACTAGGAAGGGCCAGAGTGCTCATCTCCAGGTCTGGCTCACTCACACTTCCATCCCTGGCGTCTAGTCCCGCGAGTGTGGACCGCCTGGGGAACCCGTTTCCCATCAACCCAACGCTCAGTCAGCACTGGGGGCTCCGCGTCTCCCCCTGGCGAGGACAACCCGGGAAATCCGGCTCGCTTTTCGGAGACCCATGGGACCACTACGAGAAGCTCCAGACCCTGCACCCTCAACCTGCAGAGCCGCTGCCTGAGACTCCGGCTGCGGCCACCGCCCTCCAACTAACGGGCCGGCGGGCGGAGAAGGCCGCGGGGCGCCTGGAGACCGCCCTGCGGCCCTGGGCTCACTCCCTCCGCGCCCAGGCCCTCCGCAGGCGCCACCCATGACCTTTCAGAAGCAGGAGTGGCCTTTGGGGTTAAGTATTTAAAAATAATAATGAAGGAAATCTGCAAATTTTCACCTCGGTTTAAGTCGGGCGAACTGCGGCCGTTCCTCAGGTTTCCCTCATCCCTCCCAGGCGGGGCCAGGCGGGGAGCTCGGTCCCGGCTGGAAGAGGCGACTGGAGCCCCCGCCCCCGGCCCGCGCCTCCTCGCTCGCCAGGGGCCAGC